GGTCACTGCATTTCCCACTCTGAAAATCAAGTTTTTTCCGGCGGCCTTTTGCTTCCCCAAGCCTGCACCGCGGCCTGCAGGAGGGAGGCTCAGACGCTCCATCGCCCGATGCCCGGACTCGGTGTCTGCTCGTTAATCCCTTGAAAACTAAACTCTGCCGCTGAAGCTGCAGCTTTCAGGCGCTCAATTTCTCTGTGCCCCGTTTGCAAGGTGTTTAAGTGACTTGCAGTTAGAGACATGCCATTTCACATTTGGCAGAGCAGAGCTTCCCACATGCTGCCTAAGTCACAGAAAGATCCTGTCCTCCTCCCTGGGAGCCTGCGGCCACACAGACTCTTCTTGGACGCTTCCTCGCTACAGAATATGCTCTGCCTTGCACTAATATCCTTTAAAACACATTCTTAAACGAAAGCAACATTTTAGAGAAGGACAGATGATCAAGACAGCAGTCATAGTCAAGACAAATAGCCATCTGTTCTCAATTTGTTCGTTGTTCTTCCCACTCTGTAGTAAACAGGACCTACTTGATAACTAATGATCAGTCAAGGATTGGTAGATAGCACAGGGGTGGGGGGGTAGCAATAACTGTGTTTCTTCTCAATAACGACGCTATTATCAACTGAAAGAGGTCAGAAGCAGCCTGCCCTCAAAAGACGTCTGGCCCGTGCATCTTGTACTGAAGACATACTAGGGTCAAGTGGATTCTGTAGTAGCAGGGACATAAAGCAATATGCAGTATTTCCCTTTAATCAGTTTGAGACATCATCTAATTTTAGAATTTTATACTATATAAAACTGCTTTTGAGTGCTTGCAGAGCAGGCGGCCACAACAGGCCTGCACTGTCATCCAAAGCTTTTCTTGGCTTTGGATAAGACCAAATCATTGCTGAATAATGAGAGAAATTTAAATTCAGTTTAGCATTCACAGGAAAACGCCAAATTTATAGTCTGCATATTTTGCTAAGAAGATCCTATCAGCCAGGCTTGAAGAGGTACTTGAAGCAGCAGAGAAGAGAGCTAATAGGTTGCAGGGTTTCCCCAGGTCTCTTCTCAAGAGTAGGGACAGACACAGTGATCTGAATGTCCTCCTGACAAAAGCACCAAGCCAACCCTTTTATACTACACTCGTGGCAACTAAAAACCTTTTATCTTAAAAAATATACAGTATTTGGAAAACCTGATCTTCCACTGACCAGCACTGCACAGAGGAGAAACACGCTGCAGCTCTGGGAGCTTCATTCCTTGTTTCAGTTGCAAGCTCTCCAGGTCTGGGCAGCCTTCTTGCTATGTCTTTGCAGTTCACAGCACAGACCCGCGCTCTGCTCAGCCCCTCAGGTACCATTTATGCTGTAGACCCCAAAGGGTTGCGTTCTTTGTCTTTGAAAGAAGTGTTTCTATCAGGGAAAGGTGCACCAGATAAAACTTCAGTGAGATCTGGAAAGTGTATTTGGGATTCACAGATCAGAATGAAATATTCCTAACTTCTTGTATATCACAGATTAACTGTTATGAAACTAAGTTATCACAGGAGAAACGTGAAGAGGTATATTTCGAAGAAACACAAGGAGCGATGGAAAGTTCTTTAGGTGCTTTAAAAGCATAACACCAACTTAGATTCCTCCTGAGTATTTCATGTAACTATGCCATCCATCTGAACTTTAGCACTGGCATGAATTACTTGCTGTAGAGGAAACCTCTCAGGAGAAAACAGTACTAAAAAGAACAGATCACGCATTGTATTTCTGTTTCTACGACCAAATGCCTTCATGACCTCTGTGTCTCAGCTGTAGGATTAGGATAACCTTTTTATCTTCACTACCCTAACAGTTTATGAGTGTAAAGCACAGTCAAAACACAAGGAAAGCCACATGTTGAATTACTTGATTTTTTGAAGACACTAACTTTGCAGGGTATCTCAAAAAATCAAAACAATTTTTCTACATTTTACATATCCAGTTACTAACCACCTTTTGAAAGACAGTTAACAGCATTTCAATGTTTAAGTAAACACCCCAATTGTCTTCTGCAAGTAGTTTTTTGCACGAAGTTTTAGCTCATTTATTAATAAGTTTGCAAAATATATCTACTTTTCTCATTTTACAGCACAGGATAGAAAGAATATGAAGGGCAGACTTAATAACAAGGTTATTAGGGGATTTAAGCTATTAGGATTTAAAATTTGTGAATTACAAGTCCAAGCATTTTATGTAACCTTACGTAGCATTCAGAAAGTCCGAGAAATCTATGTTTATATATTCAATACTTTCTCCTCTGTGTTTTCAGAATCCTTTGCATCCTCCAAGAGAAAGCTGTGAACCCCAATTTTTTTAACTGGATCCAAAATATCCAGAACAGCAGCAAAGCAGCAGAAGAAAAAAAAAAAAAAAGAAAAGGCCTTGAAGGAATTTCGGGTTTTCAAACAATCCCCTTCAAAGGCAGGCTGATACATGAAAATGTCTTCTGTTCCCTTTTTGCCCCTCCATCCACCTCTGATAGCTAGTGCAAATGGTTATTGTTGACTTCAGGAATTTCTAATTTAAAACAATTACCAGGAATGACCTGGGAAATTTTCAGCTCATTCCATATCCCTTGATCAGGTCTGCTATAGGATCTCCTCTATCCAGATAGAACTGGTCTTCTTGTCCTAGGACCAGTGTAACTGTAATAATTCCTTACGAATTCCTTCTTGCAGCAAGTTGTCACAGAGGCATGCCACTGCAAGACGTACACAAGGCCACAGTATGCCAGAATTACCCTTATCCAAATGTGGTTTGGGAATTTGAAAGAGCTTTAATGCTCAGGGATAGGTATTCATATTCCCTGTCATACAAGAAACAAAGAACACGGGTCATTATTGGCATAACAGTAATTTCATTGCACTTTGAAATTCATCAGTCTCAGTTTCAACAGAGCAGAGTGACTGTTTTATTTCTTCTTAAAAATTAGAAAAAAGAGCAACAACAAGTGGAAAAGAAATCACCGCAGCAAAAAAAAAAAAAAAAAAAGGAAAGGCCTTGTAGGAATTTCAGTGTCTCACAACAGGAACACCCTTTTCGTGCCTGGAGATTATTGTTACAGCTATGAGGTCTGAAGAGAGAGGCCAGGTTTGCAAGTAGAGATAGTACCTTTTATTTGACAAGCTTATACAGCTTAATGTAATAGACAAATTTTTGGCTATTGCAAAATTAAGTATTCCTTTCTGCAATATGCTGGGACTCTGACCTCCTTCATTAGCATATCTCCTATTTGCTTCCTACTTTTTACTCTTACCTGCATTTTGTCTTGTGGCTGTGAATAACTAGGCCACTTATTTTCAGCTCTGTTGTAACCACACCAATAAAGTGTTTTTTACAAAAGCATGAACCCCTGCACTGATGTCCCTACCTTCTCTAGCTCCTTTCACACCACCTGCTGTTCTCATCTGTCCCTCAAACTCCGTTCTTTGCTCCTGAGCACTGCCATCGCACCTGTGACTACAAAAATAAAAGAAGCTGCATCAGTAATTAGGTATTAACAGGTGCTCAGAACAAAGCATTCTGAAGAAGTGAATGCATCCAGAAAAAGAACCATATTCTCCTGTGGAAAGGAAACATGGGGGCAATAAATATGCTCTTACGTACTTTCTTTAACATAACGTCACAGAGCATGATATAAGTCTTTCACACTGATGAAATGCAAGGTATTTCCTTACACTCTCAAGTAATAGAAATGGTAGTTCAAGTAGAAAGGAACGTTAATTGGAAGGACAAGAAATCATGTCTTGGTAGAAACACTTCTGAATTGCTGTAATAAGAAATGCTGCTTAAATAGCACAGCACTTCAAATCGCTTTGTGCTTCATATTTCTAAAGCACTTTTAAAATCAAGAATACTACGTTAAGTCCTCAGAGACAAATTTCTCTCCTATCTGAGAGGGAAAGTACACAAGTGATCTATCATAGCTGCACAAGGAATCCAAATT